GAGTCCCTAGAGCGAGCAGAACTCGCTGGGCTACTCTTGCACACGGTAGGGAAAAACGGAAGATTTACAGGCGCCCGCTCGAGTCACTCAACGATCAACGGAACTACAGGTGATTCTTATGTTGTCAGCTTTTACATGGAAATTTGCTATTGTTTCTGTTTTACTTTTGCTTTTACGGTTTGTTCAACTACAATTTTTCCCGTTTCATCGTGTCTGTATACACTAGGCCTTCAGTTTCACTACGATTGATTTGCTACTGCTGTGCGGTTGTTTATGCATTTAAGTAAACGGCGTTGTGTTTGTTTTGAGTGTCTTCACAGCTCAGTTCGCTCATAGAGATTAATGTCGTTATATTTTATTTGTTTGCAGGATAGAATCAAATACAGATGCGTGTCACCCTGAAATGTTTCATAGATGGTCTGCTAGATTGAAGTACATCGAACTATGTAGACAATTCGAACTGGACTACTGGAATAACCACTAGTTACATTCTGAATTATATGGATTTGCAGACTATTTCTGACGTCCGTTCCTAACATCAACCGAAGAGCATTACTGTAAACGGGAATTTTAAAAAGATTTAATATTGAAGGTCTTCATTCTGTTACAGGAAGCTGCTTTCAATAAATCCCCCAGACCTTAGTGACTATCATGTAGAAGTCAGGGTGCAATCAGCCCACGAATACGGATTTACTCAATTATGTCGTGGATAACGCAGAAAAAAAGCCCACAAAGTTCTCCAGAGCTTACAACTGACCAATCTTTTAACAATTGAAAACACCGACTTTACATAAATAAGCCTTGGCATAATTAGTTGATATATTTATTTGTATGTTCTTATGAACTGATCTTGTTAAGCTGATATGAGGTTAGTATAAGTTGTCGTTGCTGTTGGTGTTGTGGGCCGGTGGCTGACGTTTCAGCGATTTCGCCTTCGTCAGAGCCGTCCTATTACAAATGGAACTGACCAACCTTTATTTTCTCAGGTGATTAGGCCAAAACGAGATTGCTACGGGCGTTCTATCCAGCTAACGTTTCAGCGCCCTCACCTTCCCCTGGCTGGTTTCAGTCGATCGTCCTTGCAATGTGGATCTTCATAATTTAATTGGATCATATTGAGCATTGAAGAATGTTAGCCGCTTGTTCATTTATTTAAACGTTCCGTTGTTAATAACGCTTCATACCAATCGAATACGAATAGGAGAAGCGTGGCTTTTGTAGCCTACGCTGTCCCAGCGCTGGCGAAGAAAATCTCGGGTTCCGTAGTCCTATCCTTTTTTTTTCATTCTATGCTTTCCAAGGGAAAATCGATTTGACCACTTCTCTGCGATCCTCTTAGACCTTCAAATCCAACTGTGAACGCTCCAGTCCAGCTATCCTAGGATTCCATGAAGACTAGACTAGACCAGCAGTGAAGGACATGTATACCAATAGGAAAATCCTTAAGCAGTAGACGAACACACACGTAAATGTGAAGACCTTCGTGGATGGTGGATGCAAGGAAAATAAGCCGAATGGAGGAACCGCTCGGATCCGCACAGTGGGTGTGAAGGTCGGGTCATGTACAATAAAATAAAAAAAAATTGTTCATTCTTGAACGTATGCTAAAATTTGAACAATGCAGAGAAGATTATCATGGCCCCTCGGCAAGGTTGACTCGTCATTTCACGAAGAGTTCCATTTTCTTTCAATCCTGATAAAAGAAGAAGCGTTAACTGAAAGTGAAAACAAGGCAAGACATTTTTATAGTGTATTTTGCCTGTTTTAACAATAAACTGGAAAAATATAGTCTTGTTCAGTTTTCACTACACTTTGCAAAACGATGGAACTCCACTGCTCTTATAGTAAACACCGGTCTGCAAAAAAATAAAGCGTACAAAAACCATTTTGTCACAAACATTTTCAAATTTGTTTAAAAGAAACAAATATTACTACTTCTTCGTGATCTTTATGCATCTTCTGATTCAAAAGCGTAGAAGGCGTCTGGGCATTGGTTAGCAGAACCATGCAATACACATGTGGTCATTGGTTCGATCTCGTCGCCCAACTCACCAGACTTTCCATCTCTCCGGGCTTGGTGAATAGCTCCCATACCTGCCCGAGAGCATAGCAGCACTGAATTGATGGGTCAGCAAGTCACCGCAAACCACTGCATAGGCTAAATATACATCCAACCACCTCTAACGATGGTCGTTGATGTTGAATACATGGCGCATCCTTCGGGAGATTGACCAGCGGAGAAAGCTTCATCCTTTTTCGAACCTGTTTTTTGTTCTCTCTCTCTCTCTCTCTCACACACACACACACACACACACACACACACC